CCTTCCAGGTGAAGTAGTGCTTTACCTGAAATTTGCTCAATTTAGTTTATTGTATTCACTGGTTACGAACTGGATTGAAGTGGCACACAACTGGAAGCTCGCAAACTGGGTGACCACTTTGCAGAACCAAGTTCTGTCAGCTAAAATGACACCATTCTTCCAGTTGCATGCCACTTCAACACAGCACCATGTTACCTGGCCAACATTTCTGTCTCAAGCTTGTTGCAGTGTTCCAGTGAGGCTCAGCACAAACTAGAAGAACAGCATCTCACTTTCCGCTTGGAAACCTTGCAGCCTGCTGGACTCAATATTGAATTCAATAATTTTAGAATCTGGACACCTTTTTCCATGTCCACACCCCCACAGCCAAGGTCCTGTCATCTCACAGGGTGCTTTCAGCACAGCCAACCTGTTTTCACCCACTCATTGTCCCTATTCTCAGCTATTCCCCTTCACTGGCTTTGTATTAACCATCCCTTTGTCTGCTTAATGGGGGTTGATTTACCTCAATTGGCTGCAAGGTTAGTTTGTGAAGGAGTGGGATGCCAACAGCGTGGGTTCAATCTCCACACCATGAAGGACTCTCCTTCTCACCCTCTCTCCCTCTCCTAAGGTCTGGTGGCCCTCAGGTTAAACCACCACCAGTTGTCTCTCTCTAATGAGAGAGTAGCCCTATGGTCTGGTAAGATTATGTCAACTTGACTTATCTGCTTAAGTTCCTTTCTCTCTCTCTGGGCTCTACCTCCACCCATCTGCTCAGTCCTTTACCAACCTACCCTATCTTCAGCATAACTGCCACCTTTCCCCAATTACCATCAATTCAGAAGAAGAGTCACTGAACTCGAAATGTTAACTCTGCTTTCTCTCCTCAGATGCTGCCAGACCTGTTGGTTTCTCTAGCAATTTCTACTTTTGTTTCTCAATAGGGTGAGGTTTGTTCAAGAACACCAGTTTCAACAAATTCATTGAAAACATGTGAAAGTCTGAAATCATGCTCACTCATGTATTCAAACTAAACAGGGTACACACTGACCCAACAATCTAACTTGGCATGTTTCCATCAAACCTGATTATAATCATAAGAACATAAAATGCAGCAGCAGAACAACATCAATCACACAAGATGCATAGAGAATGTGAGAAATTCATGCAGGTGAGTCAGACATAGTCGGGGTTGAGGGTGGGGTCAGACATGGAGGGTGAGGTCAGGGGCTGGGATGGAGTTGGGGGTTGAGGATGGGGTCAGGGATTGTGGGTGAGGTTTCAGGTTGGTGGGTGAGGTTGAGGGTGGGGTCAGGTTTTGAGGGTGAAATTGGGGGGATGAGATCAGAGTTTAGGTGTGAGGTTGGTGTTTGGGGTAGAGTTGGGGGGTAAGGTCAGGGGTTGAGGGTGGAGACAGAGTTCAGGATGGGGTCAGGGTTGAGGGTGGGGTCAGGGATTGTGGGTGAGGTCAGGGGTTGGGAGTGGGGTCAGGATTTGGGGTTGGGGTTGGGGGGTGAGGATGGGGTCAGGAATGAGGGGTAGGCTCAGGGATTGTGGGTGAGGTTTCGCATTGGTGGGCGAGGTTGGGGGTGGGGTCAGGGTTTGGGGGTGGAATTGGGAATGAGGTTGGAGCTTGGGTGTGAGGTTGGGGTTTGGGGTAGGGCTGGGGGTGGGATCAGGGGTTGGGATTGGGGTCAGGGTTTGGGGGTGGGGCTGGGGATTGTCAGTGGCATTGGGGGTTGAGGCTGAGGTTGGGATTTGTGGGTGAAGTCGGGGATTGGAGGTGGGAGGAAGTATTAGATCTGGGATTAAGGAATGATCATGGTAGGGTATCACTGGTTAATATGGTTTGAAGTTTTGACGGTCCTGGTATTGGAGCAGGCCAGGAGGTCAGCACAGAACTAACGTCACCTCTCTCCTGCCTTCGTCAAGCTTTCTGCCATGGATCATATCTCCACTGTCAGGAATCCACAGGAATTTCATTCCAAACTCAAATCAAAACAATACTGAAAACATTGGAACTGCTGAGCAGAGCTGGCAGCCTCTATGGAGAGGGAAACAGAGTGAACGCTTTCAGGGCTGTGTCTTGTTGAGGCGTATATTCAGGTACTGAGAAACACGAATGCTATTGCTCTCTCTGTAGAGGTTGATAGACCTACTGAGTATTCCTAGCAGTTTCTATTGTTGCTTCAGTTTGCCAGAACCTGGAGTATTTTATGGAAAAAGATATTTGAACAGCATGAAACTTAATGGAAATAAAATAAAAATAGAAAAGCTCAACAGGTCTGGCAGCATCTGTGAGAAATCAGAGTTAACGTTTCGGGTTCAGTGACCCTTCCTTAGACCTGATGGTAGTGAGGAAAAAGTTGGCTTCTATGCAGAACATAGGTGTTACAAAGTTATGTAGAGTAATCATGAATTGGAAGGCAGGAAGCTCAAATTTGTTTGCAAAAAAATGATAAGGGAGAAGAGTGTGTGGTTCCTTTAAGAGGTAAAGTGCTTTTCTAAGCTTAGAGATTTCACAGAATCATAGAATCCCTACAGTGTGGAAACAGGCCCTTCAGCCCAACAAGTCCACACTGACCCTTGGAGCATCCCACCCAGGTATAACCCCTATAACCCACGTACTCTACACATCCCTGAACACTCTGGGCAATTTAGCATGGCCAATCCACCTAGCTTGCACATCTTTGGACAGTGGGAGGAAATCAGACCACCCAGAGGAAGCCCATGCAAACTCCACAAAGACAGTCACCTGAGGGGGGAATCGAACTTGAGTTTCTGATGCTGTGAGGCAGCAGTGCTAAACACTGAGCCACCATGCTGCATAGAAAAAAAACGTGTCAGTACATAGCTGAAGACGTACAGCCAGTTCTGAAATGGAAACCTGTATCGATTGGCTGTGCAATTGGAAACCTTAAAGCTTGTTTTGAAGTTTTAGCAACGAGATGGAGTCAGCCAATTAACTTAAACCAAGCATTTTGCGACTGAAAGCCAATTGAATTTAAATCTGGTGGTTTTGACAACCTCGGACCAATGCTATTGTAAGAAAATCGATATGTCATCCAAGGTATATAAGGAATGGGTTTTTAAAAATCAGTGTGAAAGCAAACCGCCATCTGAGAAATAAGCATTTAGCTCTCACAAGAAATCACTAAGGTCTCTAAGAAAGCACCATCTATCCATAAAAGGTACCACAGCACTTCTAGCTAAGAGTCCTCACAAAAGACTTCACAGAGAAACAACCCTGACAGCCAGATCAGCAGAAGAAAGGTGTTTTTTCTTGAGAGCAGCAGAAGAAAGGCTTATGAACTTTGACAGACTAAATTTTAATTTATTTTCTTATTTCTTGGGTTTATATACATGGGACTTGTGTTTATTGGAACAGCATACCTGCGGAATTTAGTTAATAGTTAAGGGAGAATTGTTCGGTTTGTTAGTAATTATGTTAATTTGTTCACTGTTAGGGTTAAATAAATAAATTGTTATGTGTTACTTATAAACTGAATATCAGGGATTTTCTTTCATTTAACCTCCCTTCTCTGTAACAATAGGATGGGGGGAGGCGTTAAAGAGTAAATGATAGATGGAGATAGAGCCCAAAGAGAGAGAAGAACAGTTGGACAGGTAATGATTAGCCTAGATGAATAAATAGCTATTATTGGGGACTATAGTGGTTAACAATGGGTTGTATGTAATAGCAGATTATGTGATAACAAGGCCTGGTGTGTGGGTGTTGAGGTAAGGACAAGGAAGAAGGTGCCTCAAGTCCTAAAATTGTTGAACTCAATATTGAGTCCAGAAGGCTGTTGAGTTCCCAAGCAGTAAATGAGGTGCCATTCTTCCAGCTTATGGTGAGCTTTACTGGAACACTGCAGCAAGCCTGAGACAGAGTTGCTTGCCAAGGAAGGAGGCAGTGTGTTGAAGTGATAGGCAACTGGAAGCTCAGGGTCTTTTTTCCAGATAGAGCACCCAGTCAATCCTTTGTTTCCCCAATATGGAGAAGACCACATTGTGAGCAGCGAAGATCAAGCGAAGTGCAGGTAAAGCGCTTCTTCACCTGGAAGGTGTGTTTGGGCCCTTGTATACTGGGGTGGGGGGTAGGAAGTAAACAGGCAGATATTATATCTTCTGCAGTTGCAGGGGAAGGTGCCATGGGGCAATGTTGGGGTGTTGGGAATTACAGGAAGTACAGACTCCATTCTATTCTCTTAGTTCCTCCATCTCCATCTCAACTGTGCTGACGATGCCAACTTTGACAAGGGGGCCTCCAAAATGTTCACTTTCTTCCACAACCAAGGATTCCCCAGTACCATGGTTGACAGGGCCCTCAGCTGGATCCAACCCATTTCTCGCACTTCTTCTGTCAACCTGTCTGTTGCCTCCCACATCGGTGATAGAGACCCCTTGTCCTCATCTACCATCCCACCAGCGCCCACATCCAGAGGATCATTAGCTGCCATTTCTTCCACCTCCAGTGGGATGCCACCACCAGACACATATTTCCCTCCCCTCCCTTGTCAGCCTTCCACAAGGACTGCTCCCTCCAGCCATCATTTACTCCTTAACCTCTCCTCTCACCCTATCTTCTGTATAGAAACTAACTTATCCCTAGCTACCATCAGTTCTGAGGACAGGTCACTGGACCCGAAACATTAACTCCACAGATGCTGCCAGACCTGCTAAACTTTTCCAGCCATTTCTGTTTTTATTTCTGATTTCCAGCATCCGCAGTTCTTTGGCTTTTTACAAAATCTATTGAGGCTGGAAGAATTGCATCCAAGTTGATCCTGATGTCTGGATGAAACAGTAAAGATTTCTGAAGTCAAACGTTCAAACAGATCACCTTGTTAATCAAAGCATCTTATTTGAACATTCAGTTTAACACATCAGATGCTATGAAGAACACATTAATCCATCAATATTCAGATCATGATCCCAATACATTACGACCAGATATCAGTCAAACATGTACTCAGGAAACATTGTAGGGCCTCGAAGCCAATAGTCCAGGTAATTCTGTCATCTTGACCCCCATCCATTCACTGTTCACAGCTCGAGCCATTGGATGTTAACAGACCCTTAGCAAGGTCAACTCAGTCAAAAGTGGCTCCTTAAAGAGTTGTTTCTGGGTTTGTATCACTTTCAGAATCCATGGCTGTTTGTTAATGATTGGATTGGGCAAGAATTCCCCGTGTTGTCCCAGTCACACATAGCCAGGCTTCATGGCAGACCGCCTACAGTTTGGACAGCCTCGCGTTCCACTGTTTTGAAAGCATCTGGGACAGAGAGGGAGATCATTAGAAACAGCTAGAGCCCCAGCACAGTGCCCCGTGGGTGAAAGGTTCCAGACTGCCCAACTCACTTGCTGAAAATAAGCCCAAATGCTGGTGAGTCAAGGAGCAATCATTCTCAGAGCAATACCGACAATAGACAAAGAGAGACAAGGAGAAAAACACAAAGGGGCAGATAAACAGACAGGAAGGGAGACAGAGAAAGAGAAGTGGGGGGGGGGGGGGGGGGGGGGGGGGAGAAAAGCATCTAATTTGAAGAGAGAAAGGAAGACAAGAACAAGAAAAAAGAGGCAA